TACTAGGAGCAAAGGGTACTAGGAGCAAGGACGCTACTAGGGGCTCCTGGCCTTACTACTAGGAGCAAGGACGCTACTAGGAGCAAACGGCATCGCTGATAGGAGCAAGGACGCTACTAGGGGCTCCTGGCCTTACTACTAGGAGCAAGGACGTTACTAGGAGCAAAGGGCATCGCTACTGGTTTTCCTTCGAACTGCAGCCACAATGACCCTCCACATAGTAATGCATCATGCCATCTGGGTAGAAGGGCTCCGATGCTCTCAAAAAGACATCCTGTGCTTGGCGCAAGGAAGTAGATTCTCAGCAACATGCCAGTCTCGTAAACAAGCATTCTCATATTAAGCATAAACCTTGCGTAAAGCAACATGCCGTGTACCAAAGTACAGACTTTCTAGTCTGCCACTATCAAGCTTTTAGTCCAAATCTGCAGCATCAATCTGCCTCGGAGATATCAATGGCATCATTATCATTGCCAGGGCGTTTCTCGTAGACCTGCACTAGGTGCACTTCTCCTGGTTACATAAATGCAGTAATGGACCAACACGCTAGAAACAATGTTCAAAGAGCAAGTAATGCGAGGCACAAATCCCCACAAGTATGAAGCAAGCTTCAGCCATAGCATTCAAATAATATCAAATATATAATTCCCTTTTGCACGTGAGGATTGCCCTGAGGTCTTGCACTTGGAGGTTTTGCAGCAAGTTGATTGATTTTGTCAAATCCCTGGCACTTGAATTGCGTCAGGATTTTGCCACCGACCGCATCCGAATTCCTCACCCCTTCCGATGCAAGATAAGCCAGGCAACAATGTTGCGGATTGGCTGCTGTGTGGCACGCCTATCACGCAATCTGGCCACCTGTCATGTGAGTGTTTGTACAGCAAAATGTCCAAACTGGTGAGAGTGACGCATGCTGTGTGGACGCTGCAAAGCTTGCTAAGCTTGCTGTGGAGTAGAATGTAGAATAGAATCCTCACATAACCTGCCTACAGTAGTTAATCAAGTCGAATAAATGTATCTCCGCGAACTGTGTCACATGTATGCAATTGTGCAACGAACTTCAGTTCAGCATATGGCATTTTGCCTGGTCATAATCCACCGTCTTTGTCCTGGTACCCTGCCCTGCACCGAACAGAGAGACGATGCGGCTCCTGTTGCGGGGCCACGAGTTGCATCGATGGGTGCAACGTGCAATAATCTAGGAACCAAATGATTAGTGCGAGCGCTTCTTTAAGGAAGCTCCCCTCGCCCTCAGAGTTTCCTTGAAGAAGCGTGAGCTATCCTGCGTCCAGTTACTAGAAGCTAACTTAGCCTATTAGGGCCTAGTAGCTTGATACTTAATTACAAGGAGGCGGGGCCTCGGGCTTAAAAAAGGAAAACTTACTTATAGTCACTTCATGACTGCGTTGGGATGTGCGGCAGCACATACTTGGGAGTTGTTCAGCTAGGCTAATTCCTTCTGGCTGTCTCACCGACCATTGCATTCTCAACTCTAGTTACTTGTTTTGCAATTGTTGGGGCTCCCTAGTGATGCCCTCTAACACCGCTTGCTCTAATTTCCTCTTATTATTGGATCCTCGACACCTAATTATATTTAGACCTTCACAGCCTGCGCATGGAGGGCAAGTGTTGGAAGCTGCTGCTCTTGGTCTGCTACAACCTCCGCTCTCCTGATGTTGGCACTGGCATGCTGCAAGGCACTTTTGATGGAACGGAACATCCGCCGTAGAGGAGTTTCCACCTGGCCCATCAGTGGTCTCTACACATAGTGCTAAACTCAGGAATATATATTTGGGACAAAACACTTAAAACGAAGTAATTCTGCGAATTGCCGATGCAAGTCATTGCACTGAATCAACCACGCTCCTTTTCTCAGCACAATCTGTCACTATGGGGTCTATTCAATCAGTATCCAAGAGGAAAGCCGCCAATTTGACCCATCTCTTGCACAGGCGTGCCATTGCACACATAGCCGATCCTTGGTTTACAGTTCGCTGAAGTGTCCACATTTACTCCAAAGGTGTCTTTCCATTTTACTTGATAGCCAAGATTCCGCAGTTTCATCAGCAAGCCCTTCTCTCCGTGCGTGGAGTTCACACATCTCATGGTTTGGGTCACCAAGTCTGTCTGGGGCGGTAGAACCTGTCCTGTCGCTGGCCTTGGCAAGTGTAGAATGGAGAGATGATGTCACACACAATGTGTGGCCCAAAGCAACCGTCTCGGACAATACAATTCACGCTGCCAATCAATCATCGTCAACATGAACAACGTTTGGTGAGTGCCCCCAGTCCATTCCAGTTAAGCTGTGACACCCCAACAAGCTGACATAGAAATTACAAGTAGTGCAAGTTACTGGTCAACAGCCACTTGGCAAGAGCGTCTCTTCACAGGTAGTTTGCTAACAATTCAGCCAAAGTATACATAGTAAATATAGCACAACATTATACAGTTATACAGGATTTCAGAATCTCTAGCCATCAAACTGTGGCTCTTTGTCAGTAAACCTGTAGCCTGTGATGGATCTCTCACACACACATGATGTGAATGTTTACAACCCCCAATGCAAGTACTGGTGCACATCAGGGCCGGCAGATTCAGATGCCTTGTCCTGCATGCACATTGAATTCATGGCCATGTTTCTTTTGAAGAACAGGACCGGCAGTCCCTGAAGCCCGCCCGAAGTACCAAGTAGCTGCATGGTGAGGGTGATATATTTTGGCACTGCTGCTTCAAAAACAAAATTTGTCATTGGCACATTCCTTGGCCGCGCTTGACATGGGATAGTTCAGCTTGGGGCAGGGTCCAGAAGGGAGAACCAATCTGAACATTCTGAGGCTGGAATAAAGCCAGAGCCTTCCTAATCATAAGAGGACAGAAAAGACCCTCTCAGGTGTCTCAAATTAGCAAGCACAAGCAAACTTCAACCACGGCACAGATTGTTAGCAAACTTCGCCAGCACGGTGGTGGAGCCATCCGCATCCTGAGGAAACGTCGTGCAATGCCGCGCGAAAAGGTTGGTGCACTTACTTCTCAATTGATCCACTCGACAGGGCACCAGCTCAAAGCATTGGACTTCCTGATTAAAGCACCCATGGAAACTACTAGCCGTGTCGCACTGATGCCAACAGTGGTTTCTCAGTAGATGCCACAAATTCAAAGATGTCTTGTAGATGGGTGTCCAATGTGTCCATATAAACCACCTGTTGTGGATTCTGCCATCTACTCTCAACCACTATTACTATTACCATCTATTACCCCAATCACTGGTCCAAACTGGTCGTCCAGCAGCGCACAGCACCCTAGAACTGACTTGTCAGTTTGACATTCCTGCTCTTGTACTGACTTGTCAGTTCAAAGTGGTATAGTTTGACATGCTGTCTTTGACATTCCTGCTCTTTGCCACTGAGATTCCCGTGGGTGCCCACACATTTTGTTATTGTTGAACACCTGAATCCTTGTGTTTTCCCAAACTCCCCTCGTCTCCACAAAAATTGCCATCTGCTTGCGCACACATAGGGCGTCTTCAGTCGGTGTCACATGTCTTCATGTTGTGTTCACATGTCTTCATGTCGTCGTCTGCTCGTCTGGTCCCCGCTGGTCTTTTTCACTCCCGACGTCGAGCGCAATCAATGGAGGGGACACACCCGAAAGGACCGTGGTCGACAAGGATGGGACTGACGACAAGGAGGACCGAATGTCGGGAAAAGTGTGGGAATCGTCCCGGAAACATCTTACTTGGAACCGACAGAAAGCACAACTTCTTTGATCTCTCTTGATTTTTGTGAACTCCCAATCCAGCTGTCAAGAATCTTTTCGCGGAAAGAAGGTGATCTTGAGACCATTCTTCTCAAAGGCAACCATAGGCGGTGCATCTTGAGATGCAGCTGGGGCTGGAGGCACGCCAAGCATGTCTAGCAGCCCATCCCCGCCCATGGTGGGAGCGGGAGCTGTAGGAGGACCTGCCAGGGAATCTTTGAGTCACTTGGCATGATGAACATGCACTGACAGCGACAAATTTTATTGAGTATACATATTATACATACATACATACATACATACATACATACATACATACATACATA